GGTATAAAAACAGAGAATTAAACAATTGAAAAAAGATGTTATTTGTTGGAAATGATACAAGTTTATAATCGAGCATACTTAGAAATGAATAGAAATTAAATACGAAATATTTAGAATGGTTATCCATCGATTGATAATCCGTACATATTTAATGGTGATTTTGTTGATCGTGGTTCTCAATCTATAGAAGTATTCGTGATACTTTGTGCATTTGTAATCTTATATCCATCATCGGTAATATTAAATCGTGGTAATCATGAAGATCATATCATCAACTTACGTTATGGTTTTGTAAAAGAGTTAATGACAAAATATAAGGTATGGCGGAATGATTTGCACGCATTATTAATAAATTTTTCATTTAACAATAATTTAAAGCTGAAAAATGAATATTATTAAAGGAATATTTTTTATTTTCAATTTACTCCATTTCTTATTTTAAAATTTTACATTTCGTATGTATTATTTTCCAAGGTGATAACCAGCCATGCAATATATCAATTTAATAAATAATTTATTTCATTTTCTAAAATATTAAAATTCGCAAAAACTTAGAGTTTAGAGATCAGCAAATACATTGGTGAAGTTGCTGGAAGATATCTTTTCATGGTTACCGCTTGCAACTATCATTGATAATAAAATATTTGTTACACACGGTGGTATTTCCGATACAACAGACTTGGACGAACTTAAAAATTTACTACGATATCAAGTAAGTTAGCAAATATTCATGCAACAATTTTTAGAAAAGTTTAGAGTAGGCAAAAAAGATGGGCAAAGTTCAAGTGAGTGTGAAATTTCTTTTCAGTAAGCAGTTAAGTAAGTATGATCGATCAAGGAAAGGACAGATTGAGTGTAGTTGCAGAGAAATGAAAGGTTAAGTTAGTGTGGTCTTTAGGGAAAGAAAAGGTCAAGTGCGATAGATGAAAGAAAAGAATGGAAATAAATTTAACATATAATTTTTTCTCCCTCTCTCTCCTGTTTCAATTTTCTATTGAAATTTTCGAACATTTGTATAATCGTTTTCAAATTTTCAAAAATTAAAATGTTTTAACTGATGAAATAAAATTGTATGCATTTATTTAAATATTCAAAACATTTTTTTTTCTCTCGTTTTTTCTTTTGTTTTGTTTTCTTACTTGTAGTATGGATCAGTGATTAGGCCATCACTTTTTTTTGATGGTATGCGAAAGAAAAATGTTGATGCTAAAAAATGGAAATTAATTTTGGATATATTATGGAGTGATCCGAAAGAACAGAATGGTTGTACGGAAAATGTTTTCCGCGGCGGTGGTTCATACTTTGGTCCCGATGTAACTCAAGCATTTCTTGAGAAGTAAGCACAAAATCATTTTGAGAGAAAAAAGAAAGAAGAAAAAAACGAATTAATATCATTATTTTAATCTTTTAATCTGATTGAAATTTAAAAAAAAAATCTTTTTTTTATATAAATTTCATTTTAATGATAGCAATAAAAATTTGCTATTTTTGTTGTATATTTGCAAAAAATGATTTTAATTTTAATTAAGAAAATCTTAAAATTAAGACTTTCTTAATTAAAATTAAATTAAATCATAATTTATATGAACAAAGCATATTGTAATCTATTCAATTCATTTATTTCTTAAATTAATTTCATGGACGAATAATTACTTTTAGTGTTTGTGTATTAATTTAATTAACTAATTAATCAATTAACTTTAAAAGATATCAATTGGATATGATTGTTCGATCACATGAATGCAAATATGAAGGATATGAATTAACACACAACGATAAATTACTAACGATATTTTCGGCATCAAATTACTACGAATATGGTAGTAATCGAGGCGCATATGTTAAATTTCTTGGCGCAAATCATGAACCGCATTTTATACAATATCAAGCCACCAAAGCACATCGACAAGCTGTTAGCGCTAAACAAAGGTTACATTTTATTTAAAAAAAAATGAAAACAAAAAGCTAAAATTATTCTAATTTAGCATTGTTGGTACAGGAGGAAGCAGAAAATCTCAAATTGTTTAAAAAAGTAAAAAAAAAATTTCCAATTATTTAATTTGGTTTAAAAGAGCAAAGAAAATTTGAAGTTTTTTTCTTTGCAATTTAAAATAATCGATCCAGTATAATTATTATTGATATTATTATTATTGTAATAGTTTTGCACAGCTGATAAGCATATTAATGTTTGAAATTTAATTAATAGTAAAATCATGTTCAAAATATTCCAAAGATTTTTTTGACAGCATAAAGCATAAATTGCATAACAGATTATAAACAAGTAATGGAAATTTATCAACTAATTAATAATTTGTAGTTTAGAATTGATGCCGTGGAAGAATCAGCTTTGCAAAATTTGCGGACACAATTGGATGTATTTAATAAACAACTTCAAAGTGAATATGAACTTTTGGATCCGTTAAATACTGGTAATTCTATCTGATATTAATTAATACAAATGAAAAAAGAGGACGAATTTGTTTTTGAATTTAAATTTGATGACTTCAAATATGAGAAATTCTAATTTGGCATGATATGAAACTATTGCAAGATAATATTCAATACGCTGATTATTTTGATTTTGATTCATTTAAAAAGATAATTTATAATTTGTTATTATTGTTACTTCAAATCGGATCAAGTTATCCACTTATATTTTGGAAACTAATTTAAGGTAAAATTTCAATTCATAAATGGTGCAAATGTGTTGAGAGTGTTTCTGGCCTTCATTTGCCATGGTATTCATTAGCTCCGCGACTTGTTACCATAACTGATGATGGTAAAAATGTATTATACAAACAAAATGCATCAACTGTACAAATTTTCAGTGGTAATAAGAAAATCGTACAGGTGGATGAAAAATTTTATTTTTACTC